GCTGACTTTTAGTCAAAATAAGACTCCCTTAGCCTTTTTTGATATTTTACAAATCTTAAAAGTTAAACCAATTTTAAGCTCTGCAGGCAGATTTCTTTAAAACGATGCAAACAGAGGCAGAGGTAAATAAACAAACAACAAAAAAAAAATCAAGTTTAGTCTGTTTACATCTTGCTTTCCATAATTATTTGCTTTTGCTATTTCTCATAACTATTAATGACAAAATACACAACATACTTTAAAATATTCTCAAGACATTGCTGGAGATCAGAGCTCTAGGAAAGCACCAGATCATCTGCATATACAGGTAGTCACTGAAAGAACTGACCACACATCATGTCACATTTGTTATACAATTAAAAACTGTAAATGTTAAAAATGTAAAGTAGAAATTGAAATACACTGGCTTTAAAACAAGCAGATTTACTATTCTAATTTGTATTTGGATAGTTATTAAAAATACTATAAACTTACTTAACAGAAAATAACCTGCATTTATTTAAATACGTATTTTACCTGGCAGGTCTTGCACCAGGATGGCACTTGGAACACATCGACGTGAAGGATGAGATTTTAGACAAAACATTTCGTTTTCCATGTGACCGCTGGCTGTCTAAGAATGATGATGATGGGCAGATAATGAGGGAGCTGGCCTGTGCTAACAATGACTATTTAGATCTCAGTGAAAAGACCAGTGAGCTTCCTTACAACATCATTCATATCTATTAGATACCAATAGATTTTTTTTAGTCCAAATGAATTTATGTGTATTGCTGTAATTGTTTTCACAGAGTATGAAATTTGCATCACAACCGGAGACACTGAAACCAAAGAGAATGCGTGGATTGTACTTGAAGGGAAGAAGGCTCGATCAAAGGAATTTGTGATGGAGAACTCTTCAAAGAAGAAAAGGTTTTTGCGGTAAGTACTCACTGGGAGATTACCTCAATCACCTACAGCTTCTTTGCATGAAAATGCTTAAAGAAATGTCCTTCCCGAGTCTAATTTCTCCATAATCCCACCTGCAACTAGCACTTAAAGTCACATTGCCGCACATTGCTACTTATTCAAGCTTATCTGTGTCTCTCTGTTAAGGGGAAATGTTGACCAGTTTGAGTTTTCATCAAAAAATCTGGGTGACATTGCTGCCATCTGCCTGGGCCACACACCCAAAGATGGCAAAAAAGTTAAAGGTGAAGTTTACTGGCATGTAGAGGAGGTTGTTGTGACTGAAAAAGAACTTGGAAACAAGTAAGCAGTCATGACCCACAGGAGCCATTCATCCATCATTTCTGTTTTCAGTTGAAACGTCTGACAGTATTCTACTCTTTTTAGGTACATCTTTATCTGCAATGCCCTCGTCCCCCTCTCTCCAAAGAGGGACGAGTTCCTCAGTTTTGAGTGTAAAAAGGTCATCGAGAGCTTTGCCAGTAAGGCTCGCAGCCTGGTGCCCGTCAAGTATGAGATCCTCGTCATCACAGGCGACGAGAAGGGAGCAGGAACAGATGCCAATGTTTTCATCACCATCTACGGCTCCAATGGCGATTCGGGTTGTCGACAGTTGCGGCAGAGGTTTCGCAATCTTTTCGAACGTGGGCAGACTGATCGTTTCCTGCTTGAGATGTTGGACATGGGAGAGCTGCAGAGAGTTCGAATGGAACACGATAATTCTGGCCTCAGCCCTGGATGGATGCTTGAACGGGTGGAAATCACCAACATGGCCAACGGCGTAACCACGATTTTTCTCTGTGGGAAGTGGTTGGACACCAAGAAGGCTGACGGACAGATTGTCAGAGTTCTCCATCCAAAATACTAACAATGAAACTTTTTCTGGAAATGGCCAACAACAAAAGGATACTGACCCAAAGGATTCTGCTTCTGGCAAGCGTTACATCTCAGGTACTGAGACAAATGCATTGCATTTATAGAGTTTCTTAAAATCCTGTTGTGTTGATGGTAACAGAATTTTCATGGGTCAGAAAAAAGGAATGTGCCATAAAGTCAGTGTCAGGAATGGTTTGCCTAATTATTTTTATATTAATAAATGTCTTTTCTAAGTGAAATCGAACTCCTTTGCTGCATTTACATCTACTTAAAACAAGGCACTTCATATATATTCATTTTACTTTTTATCCACAACAAATGTAAAAAATGAAACTAGGAAATGACATATTGTCCATTACCTTACATTTTGCATACATACATATCTTGCATGATCTGTTAGTTGAAGTATGTGTTGGTGATGACTCTCAGCTAATACCATCCTGACTTTTAGCTTAAACTCTGTAACACCGACTGAATTATAGTCATGTTTGTGTTTGTTAAGGTTTATTTTTTTGTGGCAGCCATCTTGAATTGGGTCAACTCCAGAAGTTATTGATTCTGTAGATGTGCAGCCAATGAAAGTTTCAGTAAGATCCATTCACTAGTTCATAATGTAAGATATTTTGCTAACAGGCAGCACTAAAACCAACAGTTAATGCCAAAAACTTAGACAAAAAATTTGTTAGTACTGAATATATGTGATCGTAATAACACTCAAGGACTACTGCATAATTACAGAACTCAGCACAATTTTAGCTCAACATTTGTAAAATGATTGTTATAGCCATTTGTGTTTCCTGAATTTGATTAGCCGTGGCAGCCATCTTGAATTGGATTAACTCCACAAGATGAGCAGTTGTAGATTATAGCTATTGATTACCGTATTTCTGCCGTACACGTCGCAATGCTGTATAAGTTGCATCAGTTCAAATATGTCTAATAAAGTAAAAAAAAAAATCATAAACAAGTTGCTTAGTCATATAAGTTGCATCTATTATACGTCACCGCTGACCACCAGGAAATGTGGGCCGGTGTTGTGCCAAAAATCGATTGGCTGCCAAATGGTGGCCGAGGGATCGTGCACAGGAGGACCTTAATAAGAATTTAACATGATTACCACTTAAAACAATTATTTGTTTGCTCAAAATTATAGCAAAGGTGTGTCTCAGTTGACCTTTTCCTTAATAAATGCACTTTAACAGTAGAATCAGCTGGATTTCAAAAGCTGATTTGCAGCTGTGGAGCACACAAAGGGGAGGACTCTGTGCATTTCTTCAAAATTTACCAAGATAACCACCTAAAACAATTATTTGTTTGCTCAACATTATAGTAAAGGTGTTTCTCAGTTGAACTTTTCCTTCATAAATGCACTTTAATGGTCAAATCAGCTGCATTTCGTCTGGGCAGCTCAGTGAAATGCAGCTGATTTGACATTTGCTCCAAGAGTTTCGGAGCGAGACGAAGATGGCTTGGTATAGCAAGCTAAGTGTCTCATTAATAGCCACTTTAACTTATAATGAGACTGTTGGCTTGCCATATTAGTCGAGGGCCCTCTAGTGGCTAAAAATTGTAGTGTTAAATTATTATTTATTATTATTGAGCATGGACTTTGTTGGTTTTGAACCAGTTTGACATGACTGTCGACAAGGAAGAGGTCCGGCACCGAAGGAGGGGGCGTATCAAAGAGACCATCTTAGCACCAACATAACTGGTTTGTTCCACTTTGGAGTAAGCTGTTGGGGGGAAGAATCAGTTTTGTTGTGTGTTTCCTTGACTGATGAAGCCTTCTGGATGGAAGGTGAAACGTTTCAACACACACACAAAAAAAAAAAAAAGAAACTGCCCAGATGACCTGACTGAAAATTGTTGGATTGTATACCTGGATTATTGAGCATGGACTTTGTTGGTAGTGTTAAATATTTTTCATGTCAGAATGAATGAAATTGTCAGATCTCAGACAAAAATTGGGTTATAAATATGGGGGAAAAAACACATTTTAGTTGTTTCAGTGTATAAGTCGCAGGACTTGCAAATTTATGCAAAAAGATGTGACTTATACAGCAAAAAATATGATACTTTGAAAGTTTCTTAAAAATCTATTCAGTGGTTCATGATATGTTTTGCTAAAAAAAAGAACAAAAAAAAAAAAACTGCCAAATTAACAGATATAAGAAATTATAGTTGCCCAACTTTCATGGCAGCAGGCACTGATTCAATATAAATAAAATAATCTCAATAAAACTCACAATTTACACTCTACACAAGCGTTTTATCATTTTAAGCCAATGATTCATTGACTTTTCACACTCCTAATGTCAACTTTTCTTTAAACACCTTCTACAGAGCTACACTCCCACAGGCACACAAAATGATCTAGCCAAAATCAGCTAGAAGGGTAAAACATTCATCTCAGCTGTGATGATAAGGAAATAATTCTTAAGTTATAAGCATAAAACACACAAAAAAAATCCCTTTTTAATCCAGTTTATTACAAAAGAGCACATATAAAAGGATAATATACAAGCCATGAGATTGAATTAAAATAAAACAAAATAACATTTTGGGTTTAGCAATGCAAACTTTGAGATCATTAAGTCATTATTAGTAGGAATAATAAATAAAGTACAAAATTCCACCAAATATGAATCTAACATTTACAGCTAAAATGCTCACTCATTTCTTCATCAACACACTCATCACCATTAACGCGCTATTGCTTTAATATTAATGATAAATAGGTCTATTTTCAATAAAATATGCTATATTGAAAAAACATTGCGCAGTCACAGCAGATTTTTCATACAAGGAAAAGCGGCAGCCCTTTCACTGGCACTTTTTGGCAAATTTTCCTCTTCAGTTTAGTTTTTTTTTTTTTTTTTTCAAGCAACAAAAAAAAAAAAAAAAAAAAAAAATCTACATTTTTCCTTTATATTCTTTGTAAATAATTTCACCAAACACTGTTAAACCACTGCGACTGTACTGGAACCTGAGAAAACATGCATCTTTTTTCCCTTTTTTTTTATTTCTATGGAAAAGGTTGTGCTTTTTATAATCCTCGTCTCTCACTCACACCGTGACAGGAGTTGAAAGAGGAGCTACAGACGGTGAAACTAAACTGGAAATGGAAAAAAATTAAGACAAACCGAAAGGGAAGATTAAATCAACTGAGGAAATAAAAATGTTTTAAAACCCACAGTGAAACCATGCCTCATCATAGTTTCTTTATGACTTAAGATCAAGCTATTTCAGACAGTTTGAGTTGTATTTTTTCAGTAAAATGGCTTCCTGTGTCAAAGACTGTCTTAGCTCTTCATGTCCTGCTTGTTTGATCGAACCAACAAGGCATGCACTGATTTTTGTAAGTGGTGTCAGTAACACAAAAACATCTCCTAACACCTAAAGCGAGGCACTTCTTATGCTTATTTCAACATAATATTTAGGAAAAAGAACCAAAGAGAAACACGGGACAGATGAAAATCAAAGACAAAACACAAAAGTGACAAAAAGAAACATCATTAAGACCCATAGTGCGACGTAAGAAGCAAAGCTTAAAGAATAAAAGCCACTTAATTCAACTGAAGCACAATCACGATTCTGAAAAAGTTGGAGTGTTGTGTAAAATGTAAATAATAAACAGAATATGATTCGCAAATCTCACAAACCCGTGTTTTGCTCACAGCGAAGCCGAGCAAATGCTTAAACTAAGAAGTTGTGACATTTTTGAACCCCCCAAAAAGAAGAACTTTTTAATTTTATTGCAGCAACACATCTTAAAAATTGGACAGGACCATAACTGTAAACCCACTGTTGTAGTTTTTGAGGATTTTTTTTTTTTTTTGTCTATGAGGCACACTAAATGTTTTGTACTGGTGCGAGGTATGGACTCCAGACAGCCAGTTCAGCACCCAGACTCTTTCACTATGAAGCCATGCTGCTGTAATGGATGTTGTTTGATGCTTAGTGTTTCTTGGTGGAAAAATACAAGGCCATGAAAGGCAGACAAGACTGAGTAAACATCCTCTGGATGAAAGCAAACCTGCATTGATGATGCATTTCCAAATATGTGAGCTGCTCATGTCAGAGGCACTAATGCACCCCCATACCATTAGAGAGGTTGGCTTATGGACTGTGCACTGATAACAGGCTGGGTGGTCTCTCTCCTTGTTAATACAGAGGACTATGGTCTGTGGTTTCAACATTTTTTTTTTGTCTGACCCCAGAAGAGTTTTCCACTTTGCCTCAGTCCATTTTAAATGAGCTTTGTCTATGAGCTAAAACTATCTATCAAAATCAAGACTAACACACTTTTTCCTAAAAAGATAAACATTTACCAGTTTAAACATTGCTCCAGTGTCAAAACAGGAGTTGTGAGATTTGTAAATAATTGAATTCTGTATTAATTGACGTCTTACACAACATGCCAACTTTTTTGACATTGGGATTGTACTTTTTTCTCTTTTTTTTAATTTTTTTAATTTTTTGGGCCAGTGAGAGGGTTCCGATTTTTAATCAAGTGAGTGCAAAATTTAACATAAAAATACTCCCAAACTAAAGACCATTTCATTTAATTGCAGTTTGTCCACATCACAGCATGGGGGATCAGAGAGATTGCATTGAATGGAATGTAACTAAGATCCACAGCACCACAGAGATAGACAGAGAGCAGGCTCAGTCGCTCAGTCTTGGACGGTAAACATCACGCAGCCAGCTTGTGGAGCACAAACAGCGGGGCAAATTTGTTTTTCTTCCATTTAGTGTTCAAAAAGTACAACTGCATGCAAAGCATTCCCATTTCAAACGATGCAAACATGAGGTAATTGTTTATTTTTTTCGTAACCTTTTCTATTGTTAATTCTAAATAAATAAATTATGATTCAGTCACTCAAAAAAAAAAAACTATAAAAAATTAAATACATCCCCACAGTATCTACAATTAGTAATAAATTATGATTGTTAAATACTTAAGGCATTTCAACTGACAACACCCTGTGTAAACTATAACTTCATCACAGATGACTCCACTACAAGAGGAGGCAGAGTCAACACTGGCAGTGCACAAGACAGGGAGACATAATCAAAGGGTCTTATCCCTTATTATCACAGTGCATAGGACAGTGGGGGTCCTAAAAGGCATCCTGCAACACAAAGAGCTGTGGGACTGAAGTGGAAAAAAGGGTCAAACCAAAGTGTTCGTGTCAAGTGAGTAAAGGAGTCAGCTCACTTCAGCAGCTTGAGCATTTTCCTGTTGTTGCTCCATCTCGCGTCTGTGTGCACTGGAAGAGGGAGGCTGCCTCCGTCGCATCACGTCCTACATGTTCTAGCAATACAGCATAGCAACCAGCATAGCAACCACGAGGGGAGGCCTGTCACACAAATACACACGATCAATACGCAAAAAAAGCTCCTCTCCCATTCAAAACACTGCATCAATCTATGCCTAAATGTGAACCAATGCAATACCAAGGGAAAAACATGTTGTCGCTATAAACTACTGTCACATGTGCTTGCTCATTAGGCAATAAGGTAAACATCAAGAGGATCCCATCATTTCCAGCAAAGAAGGATAGGAGTAACACAAGCTACGAGCCAGAGGAGCAGCCGCTGACTGATTGTTGTTTGTTAGTGTTGAGACAATAGTCAGAGCTCAGACTCATGCACAGGAATCTCTGCACCCTTTTGAAAATGAAGCAACGCTACCAAAGCTGACAGCTCAAGTCAACAGTGAAACATGCATTTTTAGAAGACTTTGTTCTGCCACAGGCCCAGCGCCAGTGTAACATGCACGTAGAAGGACTGCTAAATCCTCCCACCAAGCTTTGCAGCCCCATTCTCACACCTTTTCTTGTTTTCGTTTTTCGGCTTTGCGTTGCATAACTCCTCCAGAGATTGTAGTATACAAATGATAGTCTGGTCATCAATAGTTAGTAGTGTATCAGCTGTAAATCCTCTTTTCTCCGTACTCTGTGATTGATGCCATGGCTGATAAGAGACTGACTATTGATAACTATTTGACAGAACATCACTTCATAAATGAACAAACCGTTTACCTTTGATGAACTTAAGTCTAGGCTTTGCCTGGAACTCATTCATTATGTTCAACATCCACATGTTAGACACATTCTTTTAGTCAGACACACTCGCACACAAATCCTTCAAGCTACGCCGCAATGAATGCATTTTTGGTAACAAACTTGCTATCTATTGTCCAAAATTTTAAGCACAAGCCACTCGGTCATTGGGTTCAATGGCAGTGAAAGAGACATACTCAAAACCCAAGGTAAAACTACAACTGTATTGCAAAATGTCAAAGCTGTATGATAGGATCAAAACACTCAGCTAACTGGCACTTGGCCCCAAAAAAGGCAACAATGCACCGGATATCACTTATTGGTTACTGCTACTCTACTACGACCACAATGATCTTTAGGTAAACATGGCATCAGAGCATTTAGTATCTGTTTAGCTTGCTTTCGTTGCAGAATATTCATTTTGACTGAATTTTTGAAGAGAGAAATGTATACATATATAATTATGTATATATATTATATATAGAAAGATACAGAAAAGAGAGAAAAGTAGCCAGCTCGGTGTGGAGTTATACGTCTTCCACTCTTAGGACTTAAAGTCATGGCTTTGAGGACATGCTACACAGCCTGTGGTTACCTACAGTACAATACCACAACTGCAACAACACCCCACGTACAACCAGCAAGCTACAAGTAAACCCTGTGTACATGAGTACATGTGTGTGTTTGCGTGTCATTTGCTTCCCGAGGGATGTGCTTCTAAATAAAGAGAGTCCTCTGTGGCCTCTCATGCAGTCCTGGCTTGGCTCAATAAAGCGTTAGTCAGAAGGGTTGTGATGCCACTTGACGTCTGAAGACATTTGGCAAAGCACCCACCCAGGGGAGGGCGTTGTGGCGAAGGGGAGAGGGAAGGTCGGCAAGCCCGGATGGAAGAAAAATATAAAGAATCACACAAGTGTGAGCGAATTACACAGAGTCAAATCTCATCAGCTGTCCGGGTTCAGCTGCGTTTCGATGTCAACTCGACAGATTGGACACTTCCTGCTGGTGGCCAGCCATTGGTCCACACAGCCCTGGTGGAAGAGGTGCATGCAGGGCAGTCTCCTACAGGACAGAGAGACAGAGACACACGGGTCAGTGAATTCTCACAGGCGCTCCTGAAACATAAAGCTATACACTTGTGAGGAACTTCCAAAACCACAGGGAGTTAATTTTGTCCTATCAGGCATGTAGAGAGGACTTCTGTTGAGTCATCGTTCCCATGCGCCTGTCAGACAGCTGGGGCTCCATATGCTGTAAACTGAGCCTCTTTATCATCCCAGGGTGCAGCTCTTATTCCCTCAAATTCTCTTCCCAACATGGGCTGAAACACATGTGCAAGTCCATGCGTGTAGTGCTTTAAGCTACAGAGTCACACTCTGAAATATATAATGGTGTGTTGAAACTCGTGAATTATGACATGAAACTATTTTTTCACTTGAGTTGATAATTAATTCATCTTAGATGAAAGAAACTCTGTATTTTACTTTCGTAAAGCAAACGGTATGGTAACATTAATGAGGCTTTAATCTTGAAACAGACGGCACACCAGTGGTGTAGTCTACATTTTTGTAGTTAGAAACCAAAGTGCACCAGTTTGTACGCTGTAATTGTCAATTTATTTTCATTTTTAAGCGTTTTGAGCATTTCAAAATTTTTCCGACGCTTTAATTTGAATAAATGTGCAACAAACTTTGTACAACAGTTGACTTTGTATTAAAAAGATGTTATAGAGTTTATAAAACGGTATCAAAGCAAAACTTGTTCAAGTATTAAGTAGTAAGTACAGAAGTATTAATTATACAAAAACCAGGTTGAACAAACTCATTTTGTCTATAAAATGTTCCAGATGTGTTGATAATGACACGAGCCCATGTCATGTATCATTGCCAATTATACGTGACATGGGCTCAGATCATTGGGCACTTTTAAGTGGGTATACTGAAATTCCCAAGCTTTTCTAGTAATAATAATAATATAATAATAATAATCATTTTATTTAAAAATCTTCTTTCAGGACACCCAAGGACACTAGTGGGTATGTTCTGTACACCCACGTATCGCATAGACTACACCACTGCTGCACACTGATGAAAACTTATAGTTTAGCACAGAAACATCATATTTTAGATCAACATTGTTATTTGTTGAATCTACATAAAAATTGCAAACATAGAGGTATAGAAAATACACTCTCCTTTAAATAATTTTATGGCCAACTCAATGTGTACTTCAATTTGTCCAGATGTTATGGCTACAAAACAAGCTCTAATAATTAGCCTTCTACTTCCGTGCTTGATAGTCGGTTTGAGGTGTTATACTGATAAGATGTGTTTAGGTTTGCCAGCTGTGCATTAATATCCAAAAATCTCTGTTATTTGTAATGTCGATCCAAAATATCGTGTTCAGAAAACGTGTTTTGTTCAGACACGGTTCAACCAGGTGCATGATCTTCTTAGAGAGCATTGACTATCATTAGGCAGCTATCCAAACAGGCCATATTTATTCTTCTCATTTGTATTATTGTCATGAATATTAACATATAACTAGCTGACTATGGCCACAGAGTCCGTGGGTTTTTAAAGTTTTGGGATAAGCTGCGTGGGACGTCCACTCCTGGAAAATAAGTTATCTTGAATGTTTCTCGTTTGTGAATAATCTTTCTCATCAAAGTATGATGAACTCTACATGTTCAGAATAAAGCCTTACAACCTTATCCAAAGCAATAGTTTCTTCTCCAAGAAGCTGATGTCGATGTATTTCCTGCTTGGTGCTGCTGGCAACTTGTCAAAACTATGCTGATGATCAGATAATTAAATGAACTTGATTATCAGCACTTGGCTGCTACCTGCCACCTTAAATAATTTGGAAGTGGTACTGGTTGACTTAGTTTAAATAAACAATGTTTATAATATTTGATATTATTGGGTTAAGGATTTAATTATCTATTAGCTATGATCAGTAATGCCCCCAAGCATTTACTAGTCGCCTACCACCTGCTGAAAGCAAAGACATAGTCCACTGAAAACAAAGCATACCGTCATTTTCCCACAATAGCATCAATTGTTCTAATTTGTATCTTTGTTACAGATTGACTGCCACATATAAGATGAACTAACTGCTGGCTCTTGAGTTCAATGAGACATAACTAAATAAAAAAATCGTACAATATTTTATTGACTCTGGAGCAATAAGGTGTTTCCCACCTGACATCTTCTCCATCCTCCAGCATGGACAGACAGATGGTGCACTTCTCATCCACATCTGTTTCCTCCTCATCCTCCCCAACCTTTAGCTGCAGAGGCTTTCTCTGTTGGCCAATCAAATCGCACACAAACAAAAAGAACGTTTAAAAAAAAAATCTAAAAATAAAAATAAAAACATCTTTGCTTGTGTGTCTGTATAGCTTATGTTATCTGTGGTACCTTCTTGTATTTGTGTGGAAAGGTGAACCTCTCTATAGTTGTTTGGACAGCTCCTCTGCTGACGCTCCCCAATCGGTCCTCAAGCTGCAGGAGCTCCTGAACAAAGTAGTGCCGGAGTTAAATGCAGATTGAATTGGAATAAAATAGTGAATAGATTAAAAGATAGATTTACCTCGTAACTTTCTCGTACAGCAGTAACGTGCCTCACTGGATTCAAACTTTGCAGCGCTAACAAATGCAGCTGGGGATACGGGTAATTTCTGATTTCATGCACAACCTAGTAACACAACATTTTTGTTTATTATTAAAAAAATGTCAATGTACTTAATCCTTTGTTTATTTCATTGCTGCTTTCTGATGTGTTGTCATATATATTTATTGCTATGTGGCTTATAAAATACAAGTTCAAAGTATCAAATGCAGTTCTGGACAGTCACAGCAGGATAACACAACGTACCACTTGGGCAGATGTTGTATTCCTGGGGAAGTGGTGCAGTCGAGGGGAGGTCAGGTAGTGTTGATAGTGCTGTGGAAGCTGCTGGAGCTGGTACTGATGAGAGAGTCCTGCATCTACACTGAGATCCCTGCAGAGAGTCAACTGTGTGACTAAATCAGCAAAACCGTATGCCAGACAAGGCAGATAGATGAGTGCAGAGCGAGATGAATGGAACAGTTTACTAACTCCGCAAGACTCTTCTTTATCATGGACATATAGACTCACCAGTCAGTGCCTTCGGCCAGGTACCGCGGCTGCTGCGTTACTGGCTGAGAAACATGGAGGGGAGTGGAGTACTCAAAACCTGAACGCAGTCTGTGGGAGTTCAGGGGACTACGCTCCTGGGGTCTTCTGCAGTTGGATAAAGTGTTTGGTGTTAATGTCTGTGTCCAGGCATCTGTATTATACTGTAATCAGGGGCGCCTCCAGAAAGGGTTTTAAAAGAGATGAGGGCCACTGATAATCTTGGGGTGGTACATCAAAACCAAAAGCCACAAGACAACAGCCATGACCCCCCTTGGTGGCACCCCTGTCTGTAATAGCATATCTACCTTGGATGTGGCAGAATCCGGCGGTGCTGTGCTTCAAGGAGCTGCTGCTGGATGAGGTATTGCTGGTGTAAGGCCTGAGGTAGGAATGAAGGCCCCGACACATCCTGAAACTGTGGGTGTGTGGGCAGGGCGGTGAGGGTCAGGTGGTGCGCAGGGGGTAGGTGGGCGGCCAGGCCCGTCTGCGAGGGCTGGCTGGCATGTCCGAGGGGGAACTCTGCTGAGATGGGTGCCTGGGGAGTGCCCAGGTGAAAGTGTCGGCAGGAGGTAGCATGGCTGTGCTGATGCCTGTTGAAGTGCACTCCTGTGTGGGAAAAAGGTAAGGGATCGGGACAGATTAGCTTTTATCTACAGTATAACAACAATATGTTATTACTTGCTACCAAACAAGTCATGACAATAAGTAATCATTCTACTGCCTTTGTCATTATCTATGCGCCTTTTAGCAAAATATCTCATAAACCAGTGGAAAATTTTAATGAAGCTCTCAGAAAATAATAATTGAATGAACATTTTCATCTGATTAACCTTTAGAATCAACTTAATTCAAAATGGCCACCACAACTTAATCAACTTTAGTAAACAATTTTTTTTCTAAGAATCAGTCAGTTTTACTAATCTTGATCTTAAGCTATAATTTGATATTGTGGTATATGAGAGTTATCTCTAACATATAATGTGAGCACCACATTATTTGTGTGGAAAAGGAGTTTGCCCCAAATACAGCACACTCCAAAAATGGTACTTCTGTGTTTCCCATCCCCTTCATATCAGAGATAGAAAAGGATGGAGTGTGAAGGCCAATCAATACAAATTACTCTCAGAACAAAGAAATTAGGGCTGGACAGAGCATGAAGTGGAGATTTTAAAAGATTGCCATTTCAACTTGTTAGCATTTTTCAGCTTTCTGCACCAGCAGGGTCTGAAGGATGGATTGATCATAAAAGTGGGCTGATTATTTTGTCATTGGAGTCCACTGAAGTGATTTACACCATTTCAAACAGCAATATGGAGTGACACTGACACTAATGTAGCTAAGAGGGAGGGTTTTATCAATTAGGTAATGTGTCTGACATAATTAAAATATGTAGGCGCGTTCAAAGTGCCAGTAAATGGTTAATGGAGCTGTAAACATCCCCTATCATATATACCAGTATATATACATATGTATAAACAGTATATATATATACACATACTTATATATAAACAGTAAATACTGTAATATATATATATATATATATATATACATACATATATAAACATTTATATATATACATATATGTACACATATACATATATGTACATATATACATATATGTACATATATACATATATCTATATACATATATGTACATGTGTGTATATATATATATATACATATATTCATATATATATACATACATATACATTCATATATATGCATATACATATATATACATATACATATATATATATACATACATATACATTCATATATATGCATATACATATATATATATACATACATACATATATATATGCATTCATATATATATATATATATATATTTATATGTATATTGAAAATAAAATTAGTTTATATTTTTATGACAATATGTTGACTTTCTTTCTCTTCACTGATGACATATTGTCCTGGTTTTGGTTCATTGCATTTAGCCTTGGGACATGAGAATCCGTTGAACCCAGAAAGACACGAGCAGACGGAGAACATTTGGTTGAGGAAGTAGAGCAGAAACGACACACACTGGTAGTTTGGATTGTTTTAATGGCTGTTGTATGACAGTTTTGTATGAAACATGTGACCTGGTGGTAATTATCCAATAATTTGTCTTTGGACACAAACAGTTGACATTATTATCAGACAGAACACAGAGCCGCCAGCACTGACCACTCTGATGTGACAATTCTGCTCACAGATTATAAAACTCCTGATGGGTGGAGAAAAGACCATCCAATCAAAATCTCACCAAATCACACATATAATCACTCCCCACTACACCTCACACATAGGCGGATGTAGAAACAGACCATCCCCCACACTATATGGCTGCAGCATGTTTTCCTAGTATGAGTGACAGCCTTTAAGCCCCGCCCTCCTGCGACTGCAGCAATCTGACATAAAACCTGTCTCTCCCCACCTCCAGCTCCCATCACTGCGGCCTCAGGAATCACACCTCCTTCCTAACCTAATCCTCTCCCATCCCTGTCCGGTGCTGTTCCATCCATCTTGTGGCACATTATCATCACCTCACCTGCTGATATCACTGATCAACACGCTTACAGGTTGAAGCTGTGATGCTGAAACCCTGCAGACAGTAGAAAGGCTCCATTCCCAAGACCTGGTGTGTATTGGTTAAATAAAGACATACGGTAGTAGTTCCAATGCCTTACAGCTGTTGAGTTATTTAAAAGTCTGTTGCTGTAGTTTGAGAAGAAATGAGCAGAGGACACAAGGCTGCATCTCAGGCACATAAATAACTCAGACATTCTAAACCATCAAGAGGCCCAAGTGTTGGAGATTAGACAGCAACTAATCCTGAACTCCGAAGCTTTAAGTGTTGGGGTGTACATTTTTAAATCTATATAAAGGAAACAGTCTGTGCTGCATGTCATGGCAGTTTGTACACCCTTAGCTGTGGGAACATGTATTAGTCAGTAGGTGAGGTGAGTATGCATGAATTTATAAAATCCAAACTCTTGAATGAAGTATATCATAATACCAAATGCATATATAAATATTCTGTGTGTTTTGGACATAAAACATATATAAAACTACAACAGATAAACAGATCTTACTCTGTCATGATAGGTAACGTGTCTTCATCTACTGTTTCTCTTTCTTATGGTGTGCAGCAGGGCTCTATTCTTGGTCCTCACATTTTTTCTTCTCTTTATATGCTGCCACTTGGTTTTAGACAATTTTTTTTTTAATGTTATGCAGATTACTCACAGATTTATTTGCCCATGAAGCCCAGAAGCAGTAACCTTCAAACTTTTTTAATTGACTGGATTGCCAACATTAAACAGTGGCTTCACCAAAATGTTCTGCTTTTAAATGAAGGAAAGACGAAGTTGATCTTTTTTTGGTTTTAATGATCCTTGTAACTTTGGTGGACTGACATCTAAGTTTAGACCCACAGTTAAAAACTTGGGGATGACTATTGACAATATTTTAAGTTTGATAAGCAAGTCTTTTGTAGTCAAGACCATTTTTGTTCAGTTACATCTTTTAACCAAGGTCAAGCCTTTTTTTTTTTTGTCCTGATGTGGAAAAAGCCATTCATGTTTTTATCAGCTCAAGGCTTGACTACTGCAATTCTTCGTGTGTAGGAATCTCCCAATCCTCCATCAGGCGTCTTGGACTTGTACAAAACAACGTGGCCCACTTTTAACCAACACTTGAACGCATGAGCTCATAAATCCCATTTTATTTTCTCTCCAATGACTTGCAGTTCCTTATAGAATTGATGTTAAACTTTTACTGTTCACTTTTAAAGCTCTTAATGGTCTCACACCATCTTTTTAGCTGATATAGTACATTTATGTGAGTATGAGAGGACATTAAGGTCAACTATTACATCTTTACCATTTGTCCCAAAGTCCAAATACAAATGTTGGGGTGACCGGGCCTTTTCAGTCGCTGCACCCAGACTGTGGAACCAACTCCCTCAGGTTTTGTGCTCCATCACTGATTTGGTTCTTTTTAAAAGTCTAATCTTAATATATTTTTATTCAGGCAGGTTTTTAATACCTAGTGGCAAGTTAGCATTTTTGTATTGATTTTATTATCGTTTTTAACTTTTGCACTGTGAAGCGCTTTGTGTACCTTTTGGCTGCTGCAAAGGGCTCTATAAATAAATGTTGGTTCATTGATTGTTTGATTGAATCATGACCAACTAATGACAATTTGCCTACTTTTTTGTATAACTACTTAAATCTGATTTAATTCCTTTTACATGAATTCTTTAAGTATGTATTTGGATATGTACATTCTCTGGCATCTACCAGGGGGTGAAGCAGCACCCACCGCACCCATACTTCCCAATGCCTTGCCCATATCCAAAACGCGTGAGCAGCAAAGCGTTAAAAACTAAACATCAACAAAAAAGCTAGTTTAGACATTATTTATTAATTTGCAGACATTATGAAATTAAAATAGACCTAACTTTAAAAAATGCAAATTCTATGGCTTTTAAAAAACTAATAGTGAATAAAACTTGCACGGCTTGCACTTACAGTGCTGTGCCATTTCATACCAAGCAACTATACTTGTACTGAAAAGGTTTAGATACTCCAAATATTCAGTGGAGGATGCATTTATTTCTATGTTACCAAACTGCTAGCAGCAACCTGCTGATTTGAGACTGAAGCAGTTATTTATAAATGTGTCAAGGTCTGTTCTGCTAATTACTAAACAAGCTTGATGAGAACGATCTGTTGCTTGTAACACAAATCCTGAAGTGTAACAGTGCGATTCGGCACTTCCACAGACATGACAATACTTTCACTGCTTTAGAAAAATCTCAGGAATTTGACACTTTGATTTAGCAGATAATTGCTGAGCTTTAGAAAAGCTCTTCATTTTGTCATAGACAAAAGGTCCGTTTGTCCATTTCCAGTCGTTTTGCTGAGTTAAACAAACTTGCAATGTTTTTTTTTTTTTTAGACAAGACGTCGATCCCCTCAACTATTTGTCACACTTTTCAAACAAAAGATTAATTTTGCACTTGTTTGCAAACAAACGGATCTGTCTTTCAATCCGAAGAGGATTTTTATTATGCGTGAGCTGGTGTTATGATTTACCTTTAGATCAATAAAACTGGTTCAGACTGAAGTTCTGTCTGAGGTGGAACCATGACAGCATTCCCATCGTGAGAGGGCAGCTGACTCATATTAAAAAAAACAAGCACAATGAGGAAGTAGTTTGCCTTGCTCTTTTTGAAGTACACCTATAAGTTTTTATGAAGATGTGCTGAACGTCTACAGCAACTTAATGAGACTAATCAAAAGTTCAAGAAGTAAACAATTTTTGTTCAAGGGTACTTAAAGGTTCTCATTAAAATGGCGCCTGGTAAAAATACAGTTACGTGTGTAAAAACATGCAGTTTCTTTCTCTTATTAATAATTAATGTGTTTAAATTAAAAAAATTGCAAGTGCAATTTGTCAACAGCAGCCAATCAGCATATTTGTTTATTTACCTATGAAAATGGCAAAGTGACTGAAAATAGGTCAACATGGGGCTCTCATGGTCCATGGAAGCCATTTGAAATCAAGAAGCCCGACAATTTTTGAAGAATTGGTACGTATTCACTTTCAGATTTATTAAGTATGCAGATAAAGTGCTTTGTTTACATCAAGTGCATACCTGCATTTTAGAATTGCACGTCAAGATATCTGGAAAACTACTGGAGTAAACTTTTTCAAATGGCACCATTCAATAAAGCTCAAGAAAACCTTTTACATTTTTGGTTGATTTCATAGACGGCAACAAGTACCTTTGAGTGGAATTATGGATCTGGATATAAATTGTGTTTTAAACATGTGTTGCAGTCAAAACGTGTCAGTTTGAAACAGATAGTTTGATGAAATAAATAAATAATTAAGTTGGAGGATGAGGGAAACTCTTGGGTTCTGTACCAGGAAATGTTACCATGTCAACCACTAACCTGTTTAAGGTTTTTTTTTTTCTTCAATAAATCAAGTTTCTCTCCAGCTCCTTCACTCCAGCTGATCCAGGAGCAGCACTTAGTGTCTTCCATCAGAGTCAAGAAGAATAATTTACAGCCGTTTGTTTTGTTACTTAAAAATCAAAGTCAAAATCCTTACTTCATCTTTAATTTGCTGCCATCGGGGCATTTCTTTAATCTTCATGTAGAAATTTATTTTATTTTGAAATAATGACACAAGCTGAAACCAACGTACTGATAAAACCTGGTCAAGCCAGACTTTCAGATGTTAAATAAACGCACCAAAATGTGAATTTAATTTGAACAATGGTCTAAATGGTTTAAACTTCAAATTAATCAAATGAGATTAGACCACGACTTCTGAATCAATGGTTTTCAGGGACGCTTAAATGAACGACACCTTGTTTGTTTTATTTAATTGTAGGAAGATGCTTCTTGTTTCTTTGGCTCAGATTTATATTTCATAAGCCTCAGCTAGAATTAAAATAAAAAGTCTGGCCTTTATTTACTTGTAGCTATGGTGAACAATAGCGCTCACCTTATTTTTTTTTTTTTTTACATTTGGATTTCATTTACCTTTGTGAGAGACTTCAGGCAAACAAACAGAACTTGTTAACTCCGTTAATCAAACCTAATCTCCAGAGATGGTGTTTCAATGTTAGACCTCCAACTTTTGAATTAAAACATGTTGAATTAAAAATATCCTCTGGACTTAAAAAAGTTCACAAATAGTCAAAGGACTCAAAGAATACCGGTAGTATCTAAACTTGAAGGTACTGCTTGGCAAGATCAGGACACGCTGTATGTTCAGGCAATTCATTTTAAATGTCACTATTTACATTTATTTACAAAATGTCAAATAATTATATATACCAGTAGTTAGCTTCTTATCAGCTATGACATCAGAGCACAGAGTTTGGAGAAAAGGGCAGAAGTCTTTGTCCAAGCTAGACTAATAACTAGCCAAACACCAGAGCAATTTTTTTATTTTCAAATTTAATTTTTAGGATTATAAATCATCCATCCATTATCGTCTCCCTTTTCGTGTCATGGGGGTCACTGGTGCCCATGTCCAGCAGTCACTGTGCGAGAGGCGGGTGAACAGGTTGCAAGTCCAGCACAGGGACACAAAAACAACTCTTCCAAAAAATGGCATATTGATTTGAAATAATGCTTCTTTCGCTGATGTGAACTTGATAGTTATTATTATTGTTATTACTGTTTTCCCTCCCAGACTTCTGTGTTAACGTGTGCTGGGTATAAATTGTGTAAGCAACGATGCTGATTCTGCTGAACGCATCAGTCTGCCTCATCAGCGAGTCTGTCAAAGGTTTACTCAACTCCCAGCGGACTGATACAGCCATAGTCTCAGCACGGTCTATATTCAGCACACTACAATTGTGAAGCGACACGGACATCGTTCAGTTGAGAAAACCAGCGAGAAACTAAACAAACGGTGCCTTGCACAAGTGCAGAGATTAGATGGTAGCGAATTTGAAAACACTTGTGTGTCGTGGCCTAGCCCGGTCAAAGCCCTTGGCTTCTATGACTGATGTCACGGTGTTCAGTACATCTGGATGCAATAGTGGATTTTGTTCCAATTAAGTTATTTTTGCTACACAATTGCAAATTTCTTCCTAACTGTATACAAAATGAACATAACACACACACTGTAACTGTAAATGTGAATATCAAGCAACTCCTCCATGTACAGAGATTCATGTGAACACCAATGAGGAGCTGTGCTCCGTTTTACAGGGAATGGATTAAAGTGAATGACGGCACAGGAAAAAGAAAGTGTCAGTGTCTTGTTTTTCGTTTTAGTGGACATGAAATTTAGCTGCCACCCCCCCCATTTCAAACGAAGCAGAGCAGCAACTTGAGGGGACTCTGCAGACAGTTGAAACATGAGAGCACATACAGAGTGTGGGGGGGAGAAGGGGTGACCGTCTCAGTGACAGCACGGTGGTGAGGGGGAGGGAGGAACACATGAAAATCAGCAAAAAGCACACTGAAGGTTAGGAAGAGAACTACAGTCTTTATTGGAAAATATTAGTACGAGTGGCACTGTGTGATCATAGTAATAATAAGAGTAATATATCCTACAGAGCAACAATAATAATAATAATACCATGCAAATAAGATCAAAAGTGAGGCCTGACCATGCTTTCTGTATAGAGTTAACAAAACAGAAGCAGCATCCAATGAGTAGATGTGTAATGCTTACAGCACATTTCAGTACAGCAGGGACACCTCTACACAAAGATTACATTAGAATCTGCTGTCCAATGTGGAAAAAACAAAAAGTATAAAAATGACCATGCATTAGGTTCTAATACAAAATAAAAACATACGGTAGAAAACCACAACCAAAGAATAAAAAAAAAGACATTTTGACTCTAAAAGGAGTTCTACAGCAGTGCAGGATATACACATCTCTGTAAAATGGATAGCATTCTGAAGGAAAGACTTGAGAGGGGAGGGTTGTGCATGACAGTGGGTAATTTTCTTTTCTCCCCCCAAATGGCAAGATGAGTTCGAAACGTGTCTCGCCGGTTTGTTGTGAAATCAATTCAGCCAGCAGGAACACAGGCGTCGACACATGGATAAGGTTATGACCAGCTGTTTGGACATCACTTTAACAGGTGCAGTGGACCGTCACAGGTGAAAATTATTTACAAAATGGAGTTATTTTTTCTCCATATATATGAATGCTTTTGACCAATTGGCAAATGTATGAATTACAGGATAGCTGATAAGTAAAAAGCTGGTACAATGCACCTTTATCCAAATACAGGATGGAGACAGTAACCATACAGTTCGATCAAGCCTGGTTGTAATCGAATCCAGGAGGATCAAAATGTATCCACTTTACAGAAATTTACAGCAGAATGTAGTCTATCCACACTGAATGGGAAGAATCACAATGACAGCCTGTAGTAAAGTCTACAATAATGGGTTATTCACTAAAGAGCAACATGACAGTTTAAATAAAGGAAAACTGTTTTCTACAGAAAGTGTTATTCTTTAGTCTGTTACACAGAAGGATACGGTATGAGTGGGGGGGAACTCGGTTTGTTTTGTTTTAAAGCCAATGTCTTCTTCAGATGGAAAGAGGAAATGAGGAAGAAGGGGTTCACAATAACAGCTAGATGCAGAGAACAGGCAGAGGCTATACAGCAGACAGCAGCAGATGATCGTTAGCTACACAATGGAGGGGGACAAAGGTCTGAGAAATGCGGAATGTAGAGCCAGCCTCGATACTATGGAACAGGAAAAAAGAACACAAATAAAAGCACAATGAAATCATTGGTGCTACACGTCAAATTACTATTATTATTATTATTATTATTACAGAATCAACACAGGTAGCCTGCTGCATTTGAAGGCAGTAGGTTTTTTTAATGCCCAATTCACCACATTTAAGTTGCTCACGTTTTCTCTAAGAAGCTAAGTTTAAGGGCTCAGATTTAACTATAACTAAATGACTGGGAAACCATTTTTTTTAAGTGATAAAAAATATATATATAAAAATGAAGCGCACAAATAATATTTCATGAACACTAAAGAGCAAAGAGATCCTGACACGGGATTTTTTTTTTTTTTTTTATACAGACGCTTACTTTGTCAAATAGTGTTAAATACAGACAGGGCTGCGTATATTTCTAGTTAAATACTGTAATTTATTGTTATGGCACTAAGAGCAGCTGACGACGTCGAAAAAAAAAATTACTGCAAACGGACGTAAACACAACGCAGATATTAACGGAGACAGCGCCGCGCTAATAATGACCGAGGACAAAACAAAAGCTTAAGGCTGCCATTTGACAGCAGGATTCATTTGGTGCCCGAAACCGGCCTCAAAACGCACTAAAATAACATATTTATGACCACACGGACATTAATTGTCTCTAGTCCGAAGCCGATGTGTTTTTAACCGGTTCGGCGCTGCAGCTGAGCTAGCCACACGGCTAATGTCTCCATCGCTCGTTGTTACGCTGCCTCGGTCTTTTTTTTTTTTTTTTTTTTTTTACTAGCAGGTGTCAGCTTTGTTTACATCGTCTGCGGATGTTTTAAGAAGAGAAGAGAAGCACCGACGTATTGTGTTAGCGACAAGACAAAATGGCAGTCATACCTCTGTTTCTAACTGAGCCGAAGACGGGGAGAACCAGATATCCGACATGGACTAACACCATCCTGGGTCCTTCTTTGTTGTGAGCGCAGCCAGAGAGACAGATGGTCCATGGAAATGATCCCCTCCAGTCCTGCACATTCAAACGGACAGGCTGCGCTGCCTGCACACGGGGAGGAGAGCGACCAATCACCGGACCAATCCAAGCAGGACCCCTGGAATTGGCAGCCGGATCCACCAATGGGATCAGTGCAGGGGCGGGAATGAGTTTTATAGAGCCCGCCCCCTCAGTCTCAATCATGGGTCACTCAGATTTTATTCAAAAAATATAAAATAATAAAGATTTTATGCAGTCTGTGACACTAGCAAGTGATATAATTTCATGTAAACACTAATCTCTACTAATATCACTGAAAAAATGTTTCTCACGGGGCAAAACTTTACACAAAGAAAATATAAGATTGAAAGGCCACGCATATCTTAAATTAAGGCCATTTTAGTTAAAACCTTAAACATATCATGCACAATCTCGTGCAATATTGTGATAGTGAATGTAATCTGATAGCACTTGAAATATGTGTTGAGGATGACTCCCAGCTACTACTACGTCAAATTTCAGCTCAAAATCTGCAACCTTTAGTAAGTTGTAGCCATTGTCATATTGGCTAAACATGGATAAGATGTTGTGGCCATCTTGAATTGACTCCAAAGTTAATCACTTGGGGATGTACATTCAGTGACTCTCGGAAAGTTTCATTAAAATCTGTCTGGTGGTTCAAGATATTTTGCTGACACAGTTGATGCTGACATTTTAAGATTAAATATTAGAGCTCAGGTATGTTTTGGGTCTAATGCTCAGCTACTTCTACACCAAATTGAAGTTTAATATTAGTTAAATTAACCAAGTTATAGCCATTTTTGTGCTGAGTAGGTGTCCATCCAATAATAATTTTCTGTTACGTTAAAATCCATCCTCTAGTTCATATTTTGTTAATGCTATAAAAAAATGTGGACGCATACAGACGCAGGAGTGGGGAGAAAAGACTGAGCAGCAAATTTCTCCGCCTGAAGCGTTAACCCCGAAGGATGAACAGATGGACACTGAGAGGGTCACAAAATTCTTAGTCCCATATGTCCTCATTTCTTGTTCCCACCCACTAATGCTTTAAGCTCGAGGTAAAAACACAGCCTTTCATAATGTTTAACTATCACTGCAGTTCTTCTACACTCAAATTTTGATCATTAAGCAAACTACTACAAGACTGCCTGATTAAATAACCGTAGAAGCAAACTGGAAGAGTGTGGTGTCTGCAGAAGGAGCACAACTTCTAGCTCTGACTCGGGGCCATTCACTGCGCTGTTGTAAAAATTAGCATACAGCTGATGTTCTGGCTCCAGGGTGAAAGGAGCCAGCTAGAGGCTCTGGTTTAAGGAAAAGGGCCCTGCAGACTGCATTGCTCCACTCCCTCATTGTCTTCTTTATGTGCATGTCCCTTTAGTGGCAGGTGTCGCAGTATGACCTCTGACCCAGGTGACAGGCTGGTTTGTGAGGGGGAAGTTTGGCACTTGTCTAGACTGATACATGTTACCGAGTTTGGTGCTGATATAGTGGAAAACACTCTCTAATGAACAGTAATGTTTAGTGTCTCATTAGAATATGTTAAATGTATTTATTAACCTTTATTTAACCAGGCAAATCCCAATGAGATCACAGATCTCTTTTGCAAGGGAGGTCTGGGCCTGAAATCAGCCTAACATGCATGTTTTTGATTTGTGGGAGGAAACCAGAGTACCCGGAGAACACACACACTTAGATTTTACATAGATATTATCCAGTTAAATGGCAAATATTGCTCTTTTTTTTAACAATTCAGCCTTTTCTTCAGATGAAATATAGTAATTCTAAATATGATCATGGCAAAATATTATGTCCACAACATGAAATGGAGTGAAAAAAAAAATTCCCTCATTTAATATTTTTAAAGAAACCGACTTAAATATATATATATATATATATAACCTCTGTGGAAAAACTTAATTTAAATAATCAGAAACTTGTCAAAACAATAACTTTTAAGAAATTTAATTTCATAAATAGACCCCTTTATCTTTTTACTTTGTTCTTTTTGTTGCAACAGACCTTTTATTATATGAATTTGAATGTATTTTGGTGCATTTGTTAAGAAAATAGTGGTGTTTGTATGGATAAAAAGGTACACATAAAAAAAAGAAGAAACCGCAGTACCTGGAGAAAACCCAAGCAAGCATGAGAAGAACATGCAAACTCCACAGAAGGACCCCAGGTCCAACTGGGGATTGAACCCAGGACCTTCTTGCTGTGAGGCGGCAATGCTAACCACTGATCCATTGTGCTGCCACAAAATACATTTTTATCACCCGTTACCAAAGGCAACAGTATTACTAGTCTGCAACATTAGCAAAATATCTAAAAAATAAAACTTAAAATGCATCAGTTTCTAGGAACACAACAAATGCATGTACAAGAAATCATTAAATAACACTATTTATTTACTCATAAAATAGTTTTTTTTGTTCTACAGACTTGATTTCAAGGAAGTCAGGGTCCTGCAGAAGCAACAAAATATATATTTTTTGTTGTTAAGATTAAAATACTGACAATGAAACAGAATCAGAGCAAAAGAGAAAATGCTGATTACAGGACAGGAGAAGTCTGACTGGAGGGTAAAATATGCAGTTTAACAAGCAATGTGCAACAATAATCAAACGTCCCTGCCCAGATTTTTTTGACCAATATAATTAAAAATAACAAAAGTGATGTTTTACTAACAATTTAAAGCAACACCATAGAGCAGTAATTGATTTTGTGAAGCAGAACCGATCTGGCAGAGACTAATTACGGAGGCCGCGTCACACGGTAGAAAGAATTGTTCAAATAAATACATAAACCATATCTTGACTTTAAAAATCACATCTTTAAACAAAAGATTAAATTCAAATTAAATGTAAGATTACACAGGGACTTAGTGAAATGAAAAACTGCGAAGACAAACTCCACTTTGGTTTAGATTCTTATATTTTAATCTTTCCCTTTCTGTGACCTGCAGACGTTCACACCGTCCTCAAGCATCATTTAAAAAACATTTGTTTCCCACGTCTAATAGACAAAACTAGAAACATTTTGAAAATTTTGCATATTCATAAAATCTAACCAGCATGGCTGCAGTGCCACCTGAGGACAAAACAAGACTGGGAACAAGCAAGAAGGCCCCAAGGAGCAGGGTAAAAACAGCACACGCACACACGGTAAATGTCTCACACCGCCCCCACACACAAGCGCTAACTCAACACTACTCATATATTTATGCTTGTTATACAAATAATATATACGCATGTGACTGAAAAATGCCGTACTTAAGTCATTTAAAATGAGCTTCTGAGCATTATAAAAGAAAATAGTGCACAGTAAAGGCATTCAAGCCATCTTGCTTTGCAGTATTCAGTTATTTAAAAGGGTTTCCATCTATTCCGAATAAACACAAAGTAAAAACACCCAACCAGCACTGCAAGGTCATACATTCACTGATAACCAAGTCGCTTAGGACCGTCCAGCAAAAATGTGGCTTCAATACATCTTTAAACTAGTTAAATGACTTTCACCAGCTGTTAGGGTCTCGTGGGATTGTGGTGAAAATGAGCCACATTTTGTAGTGCATCTGAAGAAAGATATATTCACACAGAGCTGGAGTTTACAGTGGTTTTCTGTTTTTAAAGGTAAAAAAAGATGGGACGTAACATTAGAGACAAAACGTGGTTTTGCATACTTGTGATTATTCAGCAGACAACCACGCTCGTGTGTATATGTATCAGATAGGAACCAGCAGACAGATCAAAACCTGTTCAACTAGCTGTCCAATCATTTAATCAAAGTACTTTTGCATTGACAAATAAACTCAATCCAGAGAATAGGTGATTTTTTTTCTTCTTGTGTGTGATACAATTAGTTTAGAGGGCAATGGGTTTAGTTACCTTTGGCCATAGCAAGTGGATTTCAATCGAATTCAACTTCCAGCAAAAATATATTTTCTTTTAATATTTACTGGCTCTATTAAGGTAAATCAAAACACTCCCTAACAGTATTAGAACAAGCTGTGCCTATTTTGGACACTGTGCAAAGCAAGCTATAAATGCAGACTGATTTCTATGCACATCCAGTGTTGAAAACAAAATTGCTCCGAACCAAAATTAAACTATGTCGTCTAAATATGATCAACTGTACAATGAAAACATATTAGCTGCAGTTTGTTATTGAAACTGCAGGTTAAAATGCAAAATCTGGTCTGAAAGCACTCAGTCTGTAGTGAAGCAGGCGCATAGTCCGGTTGTGACAATAACCTGCTGTTAAGCAGCGTGGAGTTCTCACTATACAGCTTAAGCGCACATACATCAGTTATTGGGGTGTAACAGAGGTATTGCTATCATTAACAAGATAAATCACTCTTGTACGGTTCCACTTGCACTTACAGTGCCGTGCCATTTCGTTTCATCTGAACTCAAAGCAGACAAGCTAAAAATAGGGAATCACAATACGCGACTGTGGAACAGAACGTTTGAAACAAAGAGTGCTCTCGAGCCATAGGAGTCCATGAGCAGACTTCAGCCGGAGACTATGACGAACACTACAAGTTTTCAGTGTACTAGCTGTTTAAAGTAGATATTTGTGTCCGGCGTCCTCATCCAGCGTGAGGTCCACCACTTCAGGAGGGGACACCCAGTTAGGCCGTGGAGAAACGGGAGTCCAGAGCTGAGACTGATTTGTGCTGTTTAACTGCTCCACTGAGCTCTCCTTCCAGGAAGACAAACTCTTTATCACCCCTCCACATGGATGAGCACATCTAATTCATGAACAGAGAAAAAATATATATGTTTGTTTTCAAAGTTTGGGGCAGCAAACAAACGAACAAAAAACCATCTAAACCTCAATTGAGTATCTTTACCGTGCTTTTTCTTGCACTCCAACTATTTCCACCTCATTGTCAGATGAAGCAACATTAATCTGGCCTTTGTGCTGAGAGCTCTCCTTGTGCGACAGCTCTGCCTCCACTCGGCCTGAAATAAATAAAAGGAACAGTCACACATTGGGAGGAGGATCAAAGCAGTGGAGAGCCTCAGGCCTCGCTGACGCATGAAGACTGCAGCTGCTTTGACACAGACAAAAACAAATCAACATGAATGGACACTTGCATAAAAAAAAAAAAAAGACTAACGCATCATGAATCGGTACCTTAGATAATTGATTTAATACTTGTGGGTTTTGTTTTCATCACCATGTCAATTTATTGATGTAAGGAAGTACTACTTTCACAAAGCACCAAATGCAAACCATGAGTGTGTGAGTTCAAGAGTACTTCAAAGGCATCTTGCTGAGATTAATGCCAGTTTCCCGTTGCTTTTGAGTGACACCTGAGCCCTTTAAACACCCCCCACCTTGCCTTTACTGACAGAAAAGGATCAGTTTAGGTATTTACTGGGTTTGCAACTGACCTGAGATTGAGCTCAGAGCTCTTACACACCCAGAGTGTGCTGCCATATCCTGGCCTCTGTGTGTTTTTAGCTCATGCCTTATCACCGTAGGCCGAACTGTCGCCACACTCACACTCTCCTGGTTAGAATCAGTGTCTGAAATATCATAGTGACCCACTACAGGAGGCCCGTCTGCAGGAAACAAAGAAAACACTTTATTATTTAAACCACGCCTGAGATTAGAGGGACTGTTTGGACACAGCATCCAGTCTCATTTGCAGCATCTAGAATATACAAAACCAAATAAACTCTGCAATCCCAGTTAAACTATTTTTGTCAACTGTAAAATAAAACAACTTGGTTTAGGAGCACTGGCCCTGCAGGAAAACATGCACGAGTGCAGCTAAGGACTTGCTAAACTGGTTTTTATAACTACAATTGTGAAAAAGATGGGACGTTTCATTAAATGAATGTAAACAAAAACAGAATGCAATAATTTACAAATCTCAGAAAAACATATTTAATCCCAATGGAACGCAGTGACGAATCAAATGTTTCAATTAGGAAGTCATTTTGTATTTATTTATTTTTTATTCCTAAAAACTGAACCATTTGTCAGCATCAACATTTTTTATAGTCTGCTCTGACTAAAATATGGATTTATGAACTTTGCAAATCTGATCGTATTTACATTTTGCACAATGCTCCTAATTTCTGGGAATTGGGGTTATGTCTTATTACAGTGGTTTGTGCTCCATTAATAAATCTGCAACAGCACAATACATGTTTTCTTTCTGTTTATTGGTTTTAAAATAACAGCCATTCACATAAAACTACACTAGGTTACAGTTATTACAAACCACGTAAAATAACCTTAGTGAGTGAATTAAATGTAATTGGATACTAGAGAGAAAAAGCAGACACGTATATCTTTGCGCTACCCTGTAAAAAGAATCTCTTAGAAGAGTTGCAGGCTCTGTAAACCAGACATATGTGTAGGTGTTGGGGGGGGGGGGGTGTCTGGACAGAATGTACATTAGGAGATGTGAGAGCACAACAGCTGATTGGGCTGAAATACACAGGTACCAGAGAAACAAAGCACTTGCCAGTGTAAAGGTTGAGTGTAAATGAATGAAAAAAGGACACATGTAAACAAGGATAGTCTCTTTGGTAAACATTGGACTGTCCCTGAATATTTTCAGTGCACATATTGTTTGCACCAACTTCTCTTCATTGTGTTGGCAAAAATGTTAATTAAAAAAAAAAAGGTACCTTTACTTTGAACAAATCTAGACGCTGGAATCGTTTAAATCTGAATGGCAAACGTAAAAGGAGTAATAAAAAAAAAAACCACGAGGCAAGAGAAATAAGATCAATCATCCTGTCTGCCACCACTTATCCACAAACAGTTATATCTTGCACACATGCTGCTGATGAGTTATTTTGGCGTTGCACATTCTACATATTGATATAATAGCATGCAAACAAGAGCCACAATGTGTTCAGCTTTAGGTTCTGTAAAACTGACAGCTATTTACATACAAAAATGCTTAGCATCCAATGTTTATAATAATAATAATAAAAATAAAAAAAATTAATGGATTCCTTCATGCACGTCTGATGGTTTGCAGTGTTAGCAGTAATGAGAGCGGTTACTTTAACGGTCAGATTAAGTTAGTAAAATTTAGAGGGAGTTCAGAGATGACAGGATCTGAACCAGAGGAGGTCATTTCATCACCCAGATCCGTACTTTCTTCTTTTTCCAGTCTGCTTAAACACAGTCATGCTCCACGCAGCAGTACTACTGACGTGTAAATCAGTATCTTGAGTTTTAGGATGAAGCTTAAGATGCATTCAGCATCTCATGCAGAAAAAGGCCAAGCTAGCAGGCAAAACCAGTGCAAATAAAACTTAACTAGGCAAATATAATATTGGGGAAATTTTGATACTCTTGGCACTGCAGCTAAAACAAAGAAACCCATGAGTCATTTGATGCTGCCAATTATCTGACTACTAAAAATGGACCAAGTTTTACCTTTTATCCCTCACTATCTTCTTCACACTGCAAAATGGCAGCAATAGCAACAAATGTAACAGAAAGGCCAGCGTAAAATATATATATAAAAAAAAAATAAAAAAAAATGCAAATCTTTAATATTTTAAACACTAAAGAAGTCAAGCAGGTCACATTTTGATTTACGGATAAGTTTATGATAAATGTTTTGATGTTAGTAAAGCTATGTCACCTGAATGAAACTTCACAACGTTTTCCTGAAGCATTTGTAAACTGCAAATGGGTCGAGAAAATCAACTTGAATGCTACAGAAACAGCACTGAAAATGCTTCATCTATGATACCATGACTTTAAAAAGACAAGGCACATGCTATTACACAGCGACACCTACCCAGCACTGTAATGATCACGGTTCATAGGTGCTGTAATACACACACTATATGAATTAGATAATCTGTGTTTGTACAGCTAAACAAAAAACAAACAAGCCAAACTATACGTAGTACGATAAGAGCCCTGATTTATCAGTGTAGTGAGATATGTTCTGCCTCCACATCACAAATGAGATGAATATGTCTGAATGTCAAATCTCACAGTGATTCAGTGCCAGCAGAAACATGGGAGTCTCATGCCAGCAGAGTCCAGTTCAAATGACCAGCTCAGGCCCATCTGCTGGTAATATCGTATCTGCTTAGGGAACTCACATCCGTTATGCAGTATTTTCCATTACCATGCTTTCAGAAGCAGCTAGTTCTACAAGTCTTGTATGACACAGCAAACCATGAAGTAAAGGTGAAATCTAAACATTCAAGAGACCAGGATCTGGAACACCTAGATTCCCATTCTGGGCAACAACTTCAGGAAGGATGTTATTGTTGTTTATAGGGGCGGGGGCGAGACTGTTGTTCTCTCGTGCCAGCATGTAGGCAGCCATGGTCTCTGCAGACTCTGATGATGGTAAAAAGGAACTTGGGGGGGACAATCGGGCTCCCTGCTGACCCTCGGGGGCATCGCTTGAGCGTTTGGACGAATCGTTGTCCGAGTCGAGGTGTGCAAGCTTTTCCATCCAGATGCGAAAGCGCTCCTCAGTCTGACGCTGCATGACAGCAAAGCGCGTCATAGCCTCCTCCAGAACACTGCCGATGCCATTCCTGTCCCACGAACTGGTGTCCAGCAGCCCATGAATGTGGGCTCCCACTCTGGAACTCTCCGATGCACGTCTGAAGCCAGCTTTAAAGACATTGAGGCCAAGCCATAAGAAAATACAGTAGCACTTTCATGCTTCGGAGGTGGACTTGTGCATAAAATAGAAAATGATTGTTTTTGGATACATGCAGATTGACTCTTTCATGCTGATGAACTACATCATGCAGTTGTAGCACTTAAAACTGTGTCCATAATGTAAAAATGGCAGAAAATATTTCATGTACTAAAGATCCCTAAAAGAAAACTGAATGTTTTGGGCGACTGATTCTGTGACTATGGTTTGGAGAATATTTTACTTGGTGAGTCTTTTAACACAAATTCATCTAAAAAAAAAAAAAAAAAAAATTTAACTGAAAACTGAAATCTACCAAGTAAGATTTCATCTGTCAAAACACATCTGTAAAGTTCTTAATGCAACAACCTGGTCGTACAAGAGCTAATGTAAAAAGTTAAACAGTAATTCATTTCTAAATAATTTTTATGTACCGGTACAATATTTACGGTTCTATATAAGAAAGAAATTGTGGGTAAAACCTTAATTGAAAATGTTAATCTTCAGTAAACAAAGACATTTCTTCCAATAGTACAGTATACGTAGTACTTGACACTACAACTCACTAAGATAGTTTCAAACCTGGGAAACAGTGCCAATGTGCATAGACACTCCAATCACTTTTCCCTCTTGTAAGTGTGGGACATCTCTATTTCTTAGTCAATGATTCAGTCAGAGCTGTGTATGCAAGAAGGGAAATACACAAAAGCTGCATAACTCTTTAAAAATGGTAAGAGCCATATAAATAAATTTGAGAAAAAAAAACAATTAAATCTTGTGTGGGCAAAATAAAGCTTCACCAACTTGGATCAACAAAACAAAGCTAGCCTGATTGAGTAAAAACAAAACAAAACACAAGATATAGTAAATTCCTAAGAGTGTTTTAGGTGATCTGAAAAAACTCTTAAAAAATAATAAAATATGGTCTTTGCTCATATCAGTTTACAGGAAATCCATGACTCACATGTTAAACTGCAGAAATCACACTGAAGGTTAAGATTATTACCACATCACAAACTGAACGACATCAACTAGACTTCCACGGCATGCAAACTACAAGACTAAGCTCAAACACATGAAACGTACACTGACAAGTGACTAAACATAGATCCTCTAAACAACATTTATGCGTTTGAAGACAATGAGAATGAATATAGATGATGAATGAGAAATTAACAGGAAAAAAGAAAATGGTTGGTAAAACAAGCACAAACAGAGCAAAAACTCCATGAAAAAATTAAGAATTTTACATTGTTTTAAACTAATGGTTATGCAGGGAGCATGCTAAACTGTCAGACTAAACTGTGTCAGACTGTTGACAAAATGTCACTATTGTTATATATTGTTTGTATTTAATCATAATGTATATTCTGTTGTCTATATTATTGTTAATCATGTAGTACTGTACAATAAGATCGCTGAAGTTTACCTGGAATATCTGTCTTGATTGTCTTGCTACCTCCAGAAGTGTCGTCGTCATCTGAGGAGCTGGTGGTGGAGTCACACGTGAGTTCACTGTCACTGGTACTGCTGTCCTGCAGCAGGTTATACTTCTTCCGTGCTGCCGCCTCTCGTTTCTGCCTCAGAAGACGTATACGCTCCTTGTGTTTCTGGCTCCTGTGACCTTTCACTTTCGCCAGCTTGCCATTGGTTTGTTTTTCCAGCCCTGCTGCTGCCTCCGTCAGCTGGCAGCGGTTCTTCTTTGCAGCCATTGCATTTGGGGGCATCTCACTTTCTGAATGCGACCGCCGAGATTTCCTTCCCCCAGAAGCAGTGGCAGATGTTTGTCCTTTTGCTTTTTGCCCTGGATCATTTGCTGCTTCCATTCTGCCCTCTTCAGGAGGATTAGCACCATCTTCCCCTGAGGAAAGTGTGTCTGAGTCAGCCAGGTGACCACTGGATGAAGGTGAGAGCATGCAGGGATTTGATGAGTCACTCTCATAAATAGGACGTGGTGCAGGCTTGTCACTCCCTGCAGAAGAATTCTGGGACTCTGGGGAGTCACGACGAAGCTCCTTCATCAGGCATGGCATGGAGAGGAGACTTTGCTCACCCTCAGTATTCAAGGGGCTGTCCTTCTCCCTTGGAGGTGAACTGGTACTAGTGGTGGTCTCCGTTTTCAGATGCTCATCTTGTTCTCCTTGAACAGAAGCTGTGGCTGATTGTGTTTCATCAAGGCACACCGAGAGACATTCAGCATCCAGAAATTCCTCTGCCTTCTCTGAATCAGCCATTTTTTTTTCAGCTAGTTAAGCCCAGAGCCCAATGGTCCAGCAAATATGGACCAATGTGCCTGGACAGGAAGTCAACTGCTGAAAGAAAGAAAATAAGACAAGTCAGTCACCCATGTCAGAAGGCTGATACGTGTTACCTGGATTATCAAAGCTTTAGAAATTCTTGCGAAACAGTAAATAAGAATAGGATCCAAACTGTGTATCCCTTCAGTTTTACTTATGACAATGACCCAATAAATTAAATAAGACATGCTATAAATACCATAAAGAAGATTTATTAGTTTATTTAAATGAGCAAGCATTGATTTATCAAACTAACACCATTTTAGTCTCTATCTGCATGTAAGCTACTACAACACAAGCAGGTATTAAATCTTAATAACAGTCATAAGACACCTGGAACGCAAATCAAACAAAAATTATTTATATCTATGCATTTGACACATATGACCATATTTTCTCGATTTTGCAGTGAAACAATAATGTAATTTTGCACCCAATACTTCATAGTAGACAATTACTTAATATTCAGCCACTCCAAAATATATATTCATACTAATTTTGGCTGAATTTTTAATTAGTTGCATCTGTGGCTAGCTGAGGCGAATTCAACCTTTGCTGCGTAGTGAAGCTAATATCTCGGTCGGCCCTTGGTAAACTTCGCGATAAGATCACAAGTCGTGGAAAAAATAATCAGGTTGAAGGACAGCTGCAATTGCAGATTCTATAAATGGCAGCAGTATCTATCCAGAGAGTGCAACCAGGCAGAATCGAGTCAGTACTAGCTAGCAGCTAGGAGCGATAGCCCACATACACACACACAGGTAGTGCTCGAGTCATCTACGTCTGAACTTACCACAGCGTTAGTTGATTCCGATCACAATGTCGTACTTTTTAACATCTCCTGTATTTATCAGGTTCCCTAACTTGCGTCGCACAAAAAGGACTTAGCTTGAATCACGTTGTTCTTTACAAAATTAAGAATATTTAATGAGTTTTTGACGCAGCCGAGTCACAGCTTCGCGAGCTCTCTTAGCCGTTAGCGGTTAGCTTCGTGTTTATTTAAAATGTCGCTCACAAAGCTACTGCGCAACTTCCGGTTTCCTCATTCGAGTTGTGCGCCCCCTATAGGTCAAATTAGGCAATACCTTTTTCAAAACCTGCTCTACTGATTGAGAGAGAGATTGCAAGAAATTTTTGATGGTTAAAAAAAAAATACTGAGAAATGTACTGAAATAAATACCTTGATCTGATGACATTAACATAGCTTTTATAAGATAATATTTTTTGTGTTTAAAGAATATGAATACATTTACATATTTAAATGTGCCCCACTAAATTTAGTAAAAATAGGAAACTGTGAGTTTTTGCAAGTTTATTATGAGTATGCATAAAGAACAAAAACAGATAAACATACAAACAACAAATGAACAAAACAAAAACAAGATGTCATTTGGCTAAAGTGAAGACAGATAATAAGTATAGTATCATCAGAAAGTATTCTACATTTTTCTTCATTTCCATGAAAAAGGTGCTTAACAATAATGTTAGACAGAGTATAAAAGTGAATAATGTAGCTCAGTTCACAAAGTCTTTTACTGTACAACTTTTTGCAAAATATGTCAATAAATACTTTACTAAAAGCATATCTCAGATTTTGTGCTGTGATAGTCTCTCACTCATGCTGTCATAGCTTTGTTTCAAATAAAAAAAAAAAACCCACTGTTTTAATGGATCAGAATAGTTTTCGAACCCCCAAACCGTCTCCAATTAATACAGTATAATAAATGGCGGCACAACGATTTGACAGATTAATTAAATGTTGATGTTTTGCATTGAAATCCTAGTCAGTTTGTTGTTTTCCCTCCCCGTCAGAAGTTTCCAGGCTGTCTGTGGTCTTCTTTGACGAGATTTGGATCTTCCTCACAGCAGGGGCATCATCAAGGAGAGGGGCTCTGTCCTCCGGGTCAGAACATTTCCCTCTCAACGTTGCGGTGCTTCATAGTAATAAAGGTACGAGTGCGGATTTCACTCAGAGTAATCCTCTTTTTCTCGTCCCACATCAGCATGGCCTTAAGGAGCTTGAAGAATTCTTTCCTAGCCTCCACCTCAGTCTGGTTGTCTTTCTCCTGCTTTACCTGATGAGTAAAACAACACAAATCTCAGCAGCTGTTAAAACATCTTATGTAATTATTATTAGCATGCAGTAAAAGGAGTTCTCACAAACTTGCCCTTTTGGTTTCATCCAAACCACAGAAGCTGTACAAGCTTTTGCTTTTGAAAAGATGTTTCTTTGCAAAGTATTCATCAGGGGTCTAAAGTATTGGAGATGTATGTTAACCCCAAACATAGTTTGGAATACACTTGTTACATGCAATTACAGTAATGATGTCATTATAAATGTCTGCTGCCAAAGGGGGAAGGAGGATAATATTTTTATACATGTCTGTTTTTAACCAGTACATTTTTAACAACATTTGCAGAAAGTAATAGTTAGATGTGCATCAACAGCTGGATAACTTGCGGAGTCAGCTTGATTCAAGATGAATACTACAGCTAGCTTACATTGGAAATCACAAAAATAGCTATAATTGTGTCAATTGTCTGTTAGCAAAATACCTCATGAATCACTGGATGGATTTTATTTAAACTTTTAGCAAGTAATAATTGGATGTACAACTTCAACTGATTTAACTTTTTGAAGTCAATTCATTTCCAAATTACAGCTAAGAAAACTTGGGAAACCTAAAAATGGCCCATACTCAACCTATTTAACAGATATAGAGCTAAAATGTGATGTGACAGTAGCTGAGAGTTATTAACAGCACATACTCTGAGTGCGACTTGTCCTCATTAGCTTTATAAAATTGGTTTGACCAAAATGTTTACAGCTCCATCAGTTCTCAGATAGTTTTACCGTATTTTTCGGCCTATAAGTCGCAGTTTTGTGCATAATTTACACGCCCTGCGACTTATACACCGAAGCGACTTGTTAATGATTCCTCCCACTCCCATATTTATAAACCAATTTTTGGCTGAGATATGACCGTTTTCATTCATTCAGACATTGAAAATATTGAACACTACCATTTTCAGCCACTAGATGGCACTCGACTTGTATGGCATGCCATTGTATCAAGCAATAGGTAAAAGTGCCTATTAATGACACAATCGGCTTGCCACAGTCTGCCGACTTCGTCCAGCTCTGAGATCATGACTGGAGCAACCGTCAAATCAGCTGCATTTCGCTGCACTGCCCCAGCGAAATGAAGCTGATTTGACCATTGAAGTACATTTATTAAGTAAAAGTTAAACTGAGACACAACTTTACTATAATGTCGAGCAAACAAGTAATTGTTTATGGTGGTTATCTTGTTAAATTTCAAAGAAATGCACAGTGAGTCATCCCCCTGCGCGCTTCCGCCAATCGGCTTTTGAAATGCAGCTGATTTGACCATTTATTAAGGAAAAGTTAGACTGAGACACAATTTTGCTATAATTTCAAGCAAACAAATAATTGTTTTTAATTGTTAATCTTGTTAAATTCTTGTTATCTAATTTATGGTCACTGTTGTATTTGTCAAACTGTCCAGACATTTGAAGACAAATGAAGATTGCTGGATCCAAGGACTTCCAGGGCTTTGTATCAACTGGGCAGAAGATACTGTTGCAGATGATGTCAGAACAAGGTAAATAACAACCACTTCCCATTGTTGGTGGGCTGTCAGAAAAAACAAGAGTTTGCTTGAATTAAATTAATACTGAATAGGAATATTTCATTTTAAAGTCATTGTTTGACACATGACTCTACAGCAAAATTAATTTGCTACAGACCACAACTAACAGACAAAAATTACAGATAAACTAACACAGCATTTGCAACACACATAAACAAAAATTAAATAAAATGACAAAACAATTACCTCCATTCTGCAGCTTCAGCTTGATTGGCTGTGTTGACTTTGACTTCTTTCAGAGCTTGTTTTCTTCCTATTTGGACAACAAAAATTAAAGAAAACCATAGACAATGAGCATTTCAAATCCTTTTTTGTTAAATGCAAAATGTTCTCTTCCACATAATTCTGACAGTGGTTTTGGCTGCACATTACAGTGGTTATATATAGCAAACGTGCTCCTCTGTTAAGTATAATTATACACAAAGTTATGAAATTAATACTGATCATAATGTTTATTTTTAAGTTACTGGCATGAAACTTTTAATTTGAAATATTTCAAGTTGTAGTTTTCAGGTTTGTTACTCCTTACAGTTTTCTAAAGCAGAGCTTTATGTCAGTCATAAATTAGGTTAATGTTAATGTAGTTTCTAACAACTCATTAATGGATACAAATGTGCCATACCGCTTGAGAATACGAAATAAAAGCATACTTTTAAGTTATATATTTTATAACTTTAATGCCACTAATGGTTAAAAAAAATCCTTAATGTCATTCCAAAAATAAATTAATGAATAAATAATAATAATAAAAAAGCAGATGCCGAATTACAGTACTGTACACAAAAAAGTAAATGCGTACCTCTATTGTGAAGTACTTCCGGCTTGCAGTGACGTAACTTCCGTGTCAGCCATCCTTTTTCCTTCTTTTAGCACTGGGAGCAGGACTCAGCTACAGGATAAAAACATGTTGTCAGTTCGTGTCGCAGCGGCTCTTGTCCGCAACCTGCCTCGACGAGCTGGATTTGTAAGCAACTCTAACGCGTTTGGTTTACTTTGACAATAAGTGCGACATTTTTTTTTCTCAAACCCTGCTATGTTTGCGCGTTGCACGTCGTCATTGAACTGGAGGACGCCGGGCCCTTCATTCACCGCTGTTGTTAACATTCAGTTGGAAGACATTTCGGGTTTTACACTGTTATTCACATAAACTAGATGATACATTTACTCTTTAATTAGTGCGTTGCACTGTGACGAACTGTCAGTGTAACTTTCTGTGCTAAAGTAAAAAGTAAATGTATCAACAAGGTTGAGTAAGGTCCGGACGGGTTCTTTGTTGAAACGTTCTTTTAAGACTTCTTCAGAATGAGGAGATTTAACAAACTCTGTCTTATAAACAGTGCCTTCTCATAGTGGATCAAGCAGTTTGCTGGAGACAGCCAAAACTAGCTGTTCACTTAAAAGGAGGACCATCAGCCCTAAAGGCTGATCATTAGCACACTGATGGCTGTTTATTCACAGAGGGCTGAGTGATACTAGCAATCACAGCATTGTAAGAGGGGGACAGTTGAACCCGGAGGCCTCCACCCCTGTTTAATGATGGACGATTTATTTTCACAAAGATGGCCTCCTTTACTCCTCTCTCAAACCATCGTTCCTCTCTGTCCAGGATGTGAACATCTTCATCCCTGAAAGAGTGACCGCTGGCCTGGAGATGAGTGTAGACCGCAGAGTCCTGGCCTGATGATGTTGATCTTCTGTGCTGGGCCATCCTTTTGGCCAGTGGCTGTTTAGTTTCCCCGATGTAAGACTGATCACCCTCCTGACACTGAACAGCATACACAACATTACTCTGTTTGTGCCGGGGGACTGGATCTTTGGGATGAACCAGTCTTTGCCGTAATGTATTTTGGGGTTTAAAAGCCACTGGGACGTTATGTTTAGAAAATAAACGTCTCAGTTTCTCTGATACTCCCTCAACATATGGAATGACCACTGGTCTGGGTCTGGGTTCCTCCTTTTCACCTGTTGGCTGACTGGAGTCCTGTTTGGGTTTCTTCTCTGCTTTCAGGAAGGCCCAGTTAGGATATCCACATTGCTCTAGAGCCTGTCTTGTGTGGGATTTCTCCTTCTGCCTGGCTCCTGAGCTAGTGGGGATGCTGTCTGCTCTGTGATACAGAGTCCTGATGACTCCTAACTTGTGCTCCAAAGGGTGATGGGAGTCAAACTGCAAATACTGGTCTGTGTGGGTGGGTTTGCGGTACACCTCAGTTTGCAAATGTCCTCTATCAGAGACTGAGACCTCACAGTCCAAGAAAGCCAACCTGCCATTTTTTACATCTTCTCGTGTGAACTTGATGTATTTATCCACAGAGTTGATGTGGTCAGTAAAATGTTGGACTTCCTGAG